CTGTTTAAGACGATTAGATTAAGGTATCTGCAATCCTAAAATGCTAAGGGAAGTGAGGGAAACAGGCCTGCGACGTAGGAAGTGTTGAAGGAAGTAGTAAGGTGAGTAGTCCAAAATGTGGGAACTGTTTATGACGATTAGATTAAGGTATCTGCAATCCTAAAATGCTATGGGAAGGGAGGGAAACAGGCCCGCGACGTAGAAAGTGGTGAAGGAAGTAGTCGAGGTGAGCTGTCCGTAGTGTAGGATCTGTTTATGATGATTAGATTAATGTATCTGCACTCCTAAAATTCTATGGGAAGGGAGGAAAACAGGTCCACGACGTAGGGAGTTGTGAAGGATGTAGTCAAGGCAAGCATTGTGGATTGTGGGATTTGATTAATGTATCTGCAATACTAAGACTGCTTTCAGAATAAGCTAACGAATTTTCCCGAGCAAAGCTCGGTCCCAAGGTACTTGTATTTTAAACAACACACATTTATTGGGAGTTACTGAATTGTCCAAAAGAAGTACTTTTATTTTCTTATTTTAAAATTTATTTTCTTCTGTATCATGTCATGTTTTGCAATATAAAGTTATTTTACGAAATCAGTGGAAAATCCTTTTATCACAATAACTCTTACAATTATTTCTTATTGAACTATCTTATATCTATTTTACGAGTTGGTGTCTGCCTTTTCACACCTTTTCCCTGTATTTTATCATATTATTCTAGACAGATCATCATAGGTTCATAAGATTGTAAAAAACTTCGATTGTGTAATACAATACAAAATAATACAAGTGCATAAGGGCACGGTGCCCATTTGAGCCGTGTCCATATTTTGTTAATTTCATAGTGGTTTACAGCAACTGGATAAAACATTTTACAATATTTATGTAGAAATATGTGCATGATTTAGAAAGTCATTAAGCTGAAAAACTGCAATATACTGCAGACTTTTCAGATAGGTTACTTTGATGTATTCATTCAGCTTAGTGAAAACATAATATATATATATGTATACAAATAAGAACTTGAACTCTTAGAGAGCCTTTGAATGTTATTAGACTAACGAAAAGGATTGTGCATGTTTACTAGCGCTATCCAGCAACAAAAACCATTTAATTGATCTCTAAAATAAATATTCTTTAAGTGCACTGAGCAGCAGCCTAAAAAATCAATGTAACTTACCCATATAATATAGTTACAAAAATGCTCAAACTCGCATTGTGACATTTATAATTCGGCTTATATTTCTCCAACAGAAAAATTATCTGCAGAAGAATTGTATTGTGCTCTTACCGTTTCTAATAACATCCAAACACAGAAACCTTGCCTAAAATGGTACCTATATTGACAAATTATTTGCAGTGGCCTATATTACGGACCGTGGCCCACTGGGTTGATAACATTATTGAAAATAACACGAAATTTTGGCTGTAAAAATGGCCCAATGAGTAAATACTATTCAAGCAGCTATTGTCATAACAGAAAGGTCATGTTCCTTTAAAACTAGATCACATCATCCTTTATAAGATACGTTGATTAACAATGCATGCAAAAGTCAATATTTACGTAGTAAATAGCCAATTTACATTATTTTTTGCTTTTTGGAAATGCCACATTACTATGTCATCCGCATTATTTTTTGCCAATGAAGCTGCACAACCATATAAATGAGGAGGCCCCTAACAGTTCAAGAATAAAAGCCAACTTCACTTCAAGTATATTCATACACCTAACATTCCGTAGAGAGATTATATTGACAACTTGATTTAACTGATAAGGCTGAGACAACTAACTGACATCCCCCATGTCAAGGAATTCCTGCTTTAACAGTAACCCCACAACCAATTTCTTAAAACTGTGCTAGAGGGTTATTCATTGGCACAGAAGTATGATATGAACTGACGCGACGTGACGAAGGAAAAATCAAACTTGCACTGTAAGGCGGGTTACACACCGGTGTCGCGGATATGATGTCGCCGATATTTTTCATGTCCGCGACATGCCCCTCGAAAACTAACCTATGTTATCTTATGGAGCTTTACACACCAGTGTCGCGGACACGTTGTCTGCGACTTGTGTCGCAGACGCGTGTCTCGAGCGAACCAACCGGTCGGTGTTTGGACAGACATATCTCGTGTCTCTTGGGCCCGCGCATGCGCATAACACGTTTCTAGTAGTTTCGGTGCTGTCACTTGGTCTTGGTCTTTGGTACTTCTGTTTTGTTTTGTGAGTTGAGTGGTGGGTTTACTCGAGTGGTGGTTATATTATACTAGAGTCAATGTGAATTGACTGGACAACTGATTATCCTTCCAATATCCAGAACTCTCTTCTCACATTTACTCTTCGTCGTCGTCTTCGTCTCCGTAGCATCAGCAGCAACAACACACCATCTTCTTCAGAGGATGACATTATTGAAACTGATGAAAAACTGAACTGATTCCCTCTCATGTCGCCAGCACGTGTCCCTTCTCCCATGGTTGCATTTTATTACATGTCGCAGACATCATGTCCGCGACATCAGAAATATCGGCGACATCATATCCGCGACACCGGTGTGTAACCCGCCTAACGGATATACCTCCCTTTGAAGTTAGAACGTGTCTTCCCAAATAACAGATTTTTTTAAAATAAAATCATAGATTAATCTGCATTACACTGATGCAACTACGGGAGTATTTAACTACAAAAGATTCACCAATACGATTTTAATACTAGGTTTTTAAAGGTTCTTCCAATGGAAGAGATACCAGATAGCATACTAACAACTCCGATGACGAACAGTATGGGAAATATTTTATTCATTGAATGTTCAAAAATATATGGTAACTAACACAATTAATAGCATTATTGTTTTTACACTCATTAATATTCAAACAATGCTAAATGCTCAAAATATGTATATTTCACGCAATTTATCGCAGTTAGATGAATTAACGTAAGCCTTGAAAGTAACCGTCGGGTTTCACCTAGTTATGATGTAAAGTATGATACGTTACTCGCCCGGTAAGCTTTAACATACTCGCACAAAAATCCCCACGGTAAAACACCACTTACCGGACTAGTAACGTAATATACCATTTCACCATTGGGCTCCCTAATCCCGAGTGACAGTAATAAAGAACCAGCCACTGTATCGGCTAAGGACAGTTCACATGTTTTAATGTGGTAAGGTTTAAATTGCCTAAAGTTTAACAAAATTACTTTTTTTAGAATCGAAACTTTAACCTCGTTTTTCTCAAAACATTGAAAATGTCACTTTAGTTCACTATGGTTTCACACCAACCAGTTATGATTTTAAAAAAACTGCTTACAGAATTAATAATATGGATTTGAATTTATTTGAGTTTAGCTAACTTAGCTGAGAAAATTAAAATCCAAGCCAAATACAGTAGAACCCCCCATATCCGGCCTTGGTTTTACCGGTCCTCTGTTTATCCGGCCCCTTCCAGGAAGCCAATATCAAAATGTTTTTCTCACAGCCTACAGACATTTAGATGCAAGCTAGTCTTAGTTAGTTCACTAGTCTTTGTGACTGCTCAAGTCATCAAATAAATTGTTCTCACTATTTATCTGTTTGTTTATACATTTTTTGCTGTGTCACTATACTAAGTTGAGCTAGTAGGCCTAATCTTTGATCAGTTGATTATTTCCAAAGTAGGGTTAGTACAGTACAGTATATTATTAATTTTGTATTTTACAAAATGGATAAAAATGTTGAGTTGAAATCACATTATGTGGTTGAAATGCATGTACCATTTAAGTCCTAATGATTTTCAAGTCCAATTTATAGTAATTTTTACCTTCATTAACCCTCCGAGTGTCACGTGTTTTGGCCTTAATGTCAGCCTATTTTTTGCTCATTTGCAAGGTTTTATTAAAACTGATCTGAGAAGCTTAAAAACAATGTTAATTATACTGTTCTATATACCATTTTGTTTGGAAAATCTTGGGCTTCAATATTATATATAAAACATAAGGAAGATTAAAAAAAAAAATTTTTTTAGGTAAAAAAATGTATAATTTCAAAAATTTTCAAAAAAAAATAAGTTTGCGCTCAATGAAATTGTATAAATTATAGGCCTATAAATATTTGAAAATAGCCACTTTGTTCTAAATTTTATGAGGATTACAAATCTATAATAATATAAGGAAGTAGATTTGCAAATAAAAAAGTTATGGGCAAAAAACAGATTTCAGTACATAGCGTTTAGCTAAGAATGCATAGCCCAACCATAGCTAGGAATCTGGCTGATAATTTACATCAATATCACTACCTACTTCTTCAGGATCATCAACCAGCACTTCAAAACCACTTAAATCTTCTTATAATGCACCACGTATATCACTACTTTTGATTTTTAACACTAAAACAATGATAAACGTAATAAAACACATCAGTCATCGGTCCGAGGGTAACCTAGCTGTTTACAAATACACGCACGTCAGCTCAGTCAGCTGTCTGCTACAATATTTTCGGAACTAAAATGAATAGTGCTTAGAGACAGACCTCTGGAGAAAGCTTAGAATATTACGGACAGAACGATACCTAACTCAATCCAGTACAGTCCGATTCAGTTAGTCATAGAGCCTTCGCCGTAAACAGTGTTCGCGAGTCGCTGCAGCGACGCACGACACTATACAAAGTGCGTTGCGCGTCGCTGCAGCGACGCATGACACTCGGAGGGTTAATAGTTTTTGTTGCCTGGAATCATAATATTTGTACGTTCTTCATTACTTAACGATTTTAACCTACAAATAATTTTTTCTTCTTACAAACATGTTTGTTTTTTTAAATAATCCCAGAACAGACTGGAATGATACTTTTCACTGCATATATTGATTACCTATTGTTATAACTGGTATGAAGGTTGAAGGTTGGTATGTAGGTTGGTTTATCCAGCCAAATCGTTATCCGGCCAGGGGCTTGGTCCCGCGGTGGCCGGTTATGAGGGGTTCTACTGTAGATACACAATTAAAGCATAACGTTTATATTGAAATATTTACTTACTCTGAGCCACTGATCTGATAAAAATCGTCTTGAGAGTGCACAGTGCCGGGGTAGGAGGTGAAGGTGACGACCTGACCAGGAACTGATGCAGCACGGCCGTCTCCAGTCATGTGGAGACGCAGGTGGTAGCGCTTCTGTACCCTCAGCATAGCACTGTAGCTGGAACAGAGATAAAACTGTTAGGAGGAGAAGATGACAACCTAACCTGGAACCAATCCCTGATTGCAGATCCATAATGCGATGGGTCACTGCATTTAGGACTACAGGGTCAGTAAAAAGTAGTAAAACAACTGGGCCTTCACTCACAGCAGTCAATCCAGAAAACATTGAGGCTGTGCGAGCATCAGTGCTTCAAAGTTCACATACTGCTTCAAAAGTCAGTAACTGATATGTTATTACGCATGCAATTGGTATGAGTACTTCATGACAATGATATTAAAGGACAACTTTTACAGAATAAAATTGTAACTACTTTTAAGGAAGCACTTCAACTTGCAACATCACTGGATGCTCCAAGAACTGAAAGCAACATGACTGCTCAAACAGCAGTTCCAGTGCTGAATATTGTTGAGAATCAGACAAGAAAATGGGACGCATACTCTGGGAGTAAGAACACTGTACAGGCAACAAACAAAGACCAAAGTTCAAAGTTTTCAGGTCCACAAGGACGTTATCGGTGTGGAGATAAATGCCATAGAGCAAATACATGTAAGTTTAAAAATGAATTTTGCAATACATGTAACAAAGTAGGGCATATTGCAAAAGTGTGTATGGGAGGACCAAGAAAACAACCAATCGACCAACTAGACGACAGAGAGAATGATTAACAGATCATACTACCTACGATTCTTATAAACTTCAAGTAAATAATAGTGATAGGTTCATTATGAAAATAGAAATTGAAGGAAAACCATTATCTATCTATGGAACTTGATACAGGAACAACGCTATCTTCAATCTCATTTGAGGACTATAAGAGATTAAATATCAACAAGAGAATACAAACTAAGGGCGTAGTATTTTTTAGGTTCCAGTACAAAGAAAATATATTTTGGAAAATTATGTGTTATAAAGACCAAGATGTTGAGCCAATATTTGGAGACTGGATAAGAGAAGTTAATCTAGAAATTTGTGATATTAGAATGTTGAATCAAAACTCATCTGAGTTGACACAGTATATTAACTCAAAGTTGTGATGATTGACACACAGTAAGCCTAACTTAATGGTTGTTTAGTTTTAGCTTTTGAAAATGAACCATTTTTTAACCAACCCAACTTCTAATCTGGTGCCTCAAATCATAAAGACCCATCTATATTATGTCAAAAATGTCAAACATTTTCCAGGGGAGTACCCCCGGACCCCCCGGAATGATCCCAACCACAGGCCCACCCTGCTGTTCAGGTAAAGCGCTGCCATTGTTCTATGGGGGTATTCCATACCCGCCAGACCCCCCGGAATGATCCCAACCACAGGCCCACCCTGCTGTTCAGGTAAAGCGCTGCCATTGTTCTATGGGGGTATTCCATACCCGCCAGACCCCCCGGAATGATCCCAACCACAGGCCCACCCTGCTGTTCAGGTAAAGCGCTGCCATTGTTCTATGGGGGTATTCCATACCCGCCAGACCCCCCGGAATGATCCCAACCACAGGCCCACCCTGCTGTTCAGGTAAAGCGCTGCCATTGTTCTATGGGGGTATTCCATACCCGCCAGACCCCCCGGAATGATCCCAACCACAGGCCCACCCTAGTGTTCAGGTAAAGCGCCGCCATTGTTTCTGAAATGATGATTTAAGTTTACATAAAGTTTGCATCTTTAGAGGTACCTAGTCGAGTTGTAATACCTAATGCATTGCCAGAAAGAAGTTCTCAAGGAACTACACGTTGGGCATTTAGACATGTCGAAAATGAAGGCTATGGGGCGAAGCTATGTATGTTGGAAAAACTTGGATACTGATATTGAGAACTTTGTTAATAACTGTGAAAAATGCAAACAGAAAAGAAATGAACCATCTAAATTAAACCATCACCCTTGGGAAGAACCTAAAGCTCCGTTACATCGCTTACATTTAGGTTTTTGTGGACCCGTAAATGGAAATTATTTCTTCATAATTATTGACGCGCATACAAAATGGTTGGAGGTTCACTTCTTCAGATTGGTGCATTCAAAATTTAAGTCACTTATTCACAACTTTTGGACTGCCAGTAATGATAACAGACAACAGCTCCCAATTTATAAGTGCACTTTTTCAAAGGTTGTTAAGCAATAATGGAATATTCCATAGGACTTGTGCCCCTTTTCACCAGTCAAGCAATGGTTAAGCAGAACGATTTGTCAAAACTCTTAAGAAATCATTGGCTGCCATGAGTAAAGAAAAGGGAGACTTGCAGCATAAAATAGATCTTCTTGTAACTCGGCTACGGAAAGCTCCAAACTCTACAGGACTCTCCGCTTACGTGTTAATGTGGGAGACATAGAAGAAGGAAACTTAATGTGATTGTAGATAAAGTAGAATGGAATAAAAAGACTATGACGGAACACAAGCTGAAAAGAAATTTTCAGGTGGGGCAGAGCGTACTGGTGAGAAATTATTCTTCAAAAGAAAAGTAGAAGGAAGGGAAAATAATTTCAAGAACACAGGGCCAGATTTCCCAATATATCCTATAGGCCCGAGCTCCCAGAGGGGACACAGCCAAGAGGATTTTTTTTTAAATATCTAAAATTAAAAATAAATTAAATAAAAATAAAAATAATAAAAATAAATTAATAGTCATAGTTGATAAAAAAAATATGGCTAATAATGCATTCTGATTCTGAAGTTCATAGGAAGAAAGAATTGTTAGAAAATTTAAACTATTTTTCAGAATTACACATCAATTTCGTATCGTTCGTACATTGGTAACAAACATTGGTTATACGGGAGTAGGCTGTAGGGATGTTGACGAGCGCCCGAGCGGTACGCATTGTATTGCCACTGCACTGCCACTATGCTGGCTCGGCGCTGCTATGATCGGAGTGATTAGGGGCGCATGCGTGCTAGACACTGTTACCACCCTCATCTCAAAAAACAAAAGCTATTTAATTATCTTTTGATTAGCTTACAACAATCTGCAGGATCAAGTTAAAATATATAATACGTTGTGTTGAATATTTAAAAAAATTATGAGTTTATCTTAAAAATTTACAAAAAAATATTAGTCTCAGTTTGCAATAGGTTTTAGAAAAATTCAATACCCTCCAAAGCACCATTAATGCTGTCATTTTCTCCTTAGCTCAGACCTAACGATTGGTATGGTTGGCCGAAATATTGCTGTTTTGCTTTGGAAATATAACCTCGATGCAGTACCACCATAGATTAAATATAACTCAAGTTGACTTCTTATCACATTGTTAATTAAAACTTTTTTTATGTCTGGTTCATGTTGGTGACACTGCGTTGACGTTAGTTTTTATGTACTTTTTTCTATTATTTTAGGGTTAGTTCTATTGTTCTATAATGTGTGTTTTAATTTCTTGTAATATAACCAGGAGACGACCTATTGTTTATGATTAGATCGTTTCCTTTTGGGTGAACTAGGTTTTAAATAACAAGAGTTGTTTTAAGCTAATCCATAATGATGACAAATCTACTAAAGGAGTATGTTTCCGGTACCATGTACTATGGAGTTCATGTTTTTGGGCCTGCAATTGGAATCAATGGCCATGATTTTTTGCAGAATGCTCGATGGGTTGAGTTGTTTTCTGTTTTGTTTCAGTCCCTCAAACGTGAGCATTTACTAAAAGCATAGGCATAAAATTGCTAAAAGGGTTTAAGACAGCATTTTGTTTAAGGCTAAACAAGTCAATTCTTCAAAAATCTTGCAATGATAATATTCCAACAAGGAGTAGTATTCAAGCAATTAACTTAGGCCTATGAGCATGTTATAGTTTTTAATAAAGGTTGTGACCAGTCTTTAGGGCGGAAAATTATTTGGGCCTAGGGGCGGCAAAATGCCAAATCCGGCCCTGCAAGAACAGGAAATGTTATGTTTAAAGTCAAAACAGACACTGGACTCACTTTGGGCTCGTCACTCAGACCAAATACTTCCCTTACACTAAGGGGGGAGAGTTGATGTATAGTTTTAAACATGTGTTTATTAATTAATTGTTTATGTTTTACCAGTTGTGTAAATATAATGGATTGAGTAATAGCTATTTACCTAACCCGCCATGTTAAACTTCCCTATCCCAAGCGTGATGTATACAACTTCCTTACTTCTCGAGTGATGTAAAGTATCAAAAACTCACTCGGTGATGTAAAGAAACCCATTTAAATAACATTGAGTGCTTAACTTAAAAAATAACTCTATGGAGCCAACGACGTTCAACGCTAGAAATCAGCTGTGCGCTTGAATGTTATTGTTATGCTTTAAAGTATTTTCCTACCTAACCTAGCTTTTGTTAGTAAAAGAACGTTACTGATAGAAGATGAGTGAAATGGATAATGAAAAATATTGTACGTAAACCCATGTATATTGTCGGGTCAGGTAAAATCTTGTACGTTACACGTTACGCAAGAGCGTGTTTACATCACTTAGGTGAATTATGCAACGAGCGGAAGCGACTAACTTTTGAATAAGTCCAAATGTATTAAACCCCAATCGCAGCACACCTGTGCACTTAACAACGTTTAAATTCTCCAATGTTAAATATTAAAACATAATAACCTTTATCAAAGTATTATAAACAATAAAAGGGATGACTTTTTAAAATTTATGACAACAGCTAATTTGCAACCAAAAGGTGAGTGAGCGTAGCGAACGAACATCAACCTGGAGGCGAGTTAGCGTAGCGAACGAGCTAACCTGAAAACAAGTGAGCGCAGCGAACGAGCTCCAACCTAAATGTGAGTGAGCGTAGCGAACGAACTTCAACTGGGACGTGATTGAGCCATGCGAATACTTATGAAGTTAAACGGGGCAAAGCCCGTGGGTACAGCTAGTAGATCTATAAAGCATTTTTTTAGTTTAATAATTGGATTTAAAATATGGACCAACAAGATCCGGGTGACATTTAATTGTGAAGCACAAGTTTTTGCTTGTAACTGTCAGATACTGTATTTGTGAAGGTTTATATATAATAGTTTTGTCAGCATATCTGAAAGTATGCAAACCAACTGCTGTGCTTAATATAAGAAGGTTTTAACTGACTACTATAAGATCCCCGTGCCTAGAACGGGCACACAGCTAGTGTATTATACTATTTTATTATTTTTATTACAATTTTACGTTACGCTTGAGGAAACCAAATTCATTTTCTGAAGACTGAATGAAACAAGAAGGATATTTATAAAATGTATTAGCTTTGTTTTCATTAAAAATTATAGGCCTCGGCCTAGTGGTAAATCCAAACATCAACAAGTAAAATTAATCTTTATTCATAGGTTTTTGGAATCAGTCTCATTAGAATCTATAGTGGTTTTTGACACTTACTGCTTCGTCAGTTAAAGGTTGTTGCCTCACATTTGGTCCTTACTTTGAATAGGCATCCTCAGTGGCAAGGATGAAATAAGAGCAAAACAGCTGCCAGCAATTCCTAAATGATGGCACAGTCGACTTTGAAAACTACTCTGTATTCCATTAAGAGGAATCTTTCAATATTCTACCTAATGTAATGTGTGTCTAGTTAGTACTCACAATGATGAGGATGCATGTGCCAGGAGGAACTGATTGGGTTGGTCGGGTAGCAGTTTGAGCAGAGCCATGCTCAGAGGTGGTCGCTGGGGGTGGGCTTCAATGGTAGTGTTATACATAAGCTCCAAGTCCTGTAGATCACAGGCCATGTTCATCCACCTACAAAAGACACAGTTACTGTGTGGTCCTCTGACTCTTGGCCATAGCCGTAGGTCATCCTTAATATTCTAGTATAGGGATCCAACCAATTCCATTTTTTACTACACAAATACCTGCATGGCCTTTAAGCCTGAATTTTCATCCTCCAAAACATAATACAAAATTAAATTCTTCAAAACAAAACAAAAAATTAATAAGAAACTACTCACAGGAAATCCTGGTGTGGGATATCAAAGTCTTTGCGACTTCGATCAACAGCATAACGCCATCCAACCTCCAGCCCATCCAGCTGTTCATAAAATAAATTCACCTACAAAAAAAAAAAAAATTAACCGCTTGCAAATAAAGACAATGTGTGCAGCCTTGCATTTTTTTAAGTTTGCAACAATCAAGAAAATATACGTAGAAGTTGGTATCAGAATGTTACTTGACAACTACTAAACTCAAGTGCATACAAACTTAAATAAACACATGAGTGTGTCTTAGTACAAACATAGTGTTGATAAATTTCGAGTATACTGTAATTTTAAAAATTCTCTCAATATAATTTGAGTTAAGAAATTCATAAAGCACTCAATACTAAGATTTTGACACATTTCAAGCTTTTTTCATAGGCAATTGATTTTGACCAAAGACCTACAATACCTAATATAACTTTGTAAATGGTAGGCCTAAATTATTGGAAATTTAATATGGTGAAAAACATTTTTCTTGTAAAGGCAAGGTTTGTTGTCCAATTTACATTACCTTAAGTGGGATCTTCCATTGATGCTACAAAATAGTCAAGGTATAAGTGTGAAAATCTTTTGAATTGCAATTTTCTAATAGACTCTAGGCCTACATTACTAAGGAAGGAAATTTAAAAGGTTCAATCATAGACTAATCAACACAAGTAGACTTCTCATCCCATTGTAAATTTTGAAGCACGTTTTTCGTGTCTAGTTCATGTACGTGACACAAAGGCGCTAGTGTCGACGAAACTTTGTTTCTATTATTTTAGGGTTAATTTCTTGATTTGTGCTTTACTGTTTGGTTATATAACTAGGGGACAAGTTATTGTTTATGATTAGATCGTATTATTTGGTTAAACGAGGTTTTAAATGGCTGTAATAACGGGAAACAAATTGTAAACAAAACACGACCTCTACATAAACCGTACAGAACTAACAGTAAAATTTTCTTCAGCTGTTCCATAAGGATGAGAAATCTACTATATAAGGGAGTATGTTTTATCTATGGTTCAATCTAATGATTATTTGGATCACATAATAAATAAACATATTATAAAAATCAATCAACATATGCTATTTATTGTTATTTATTTGATTGTTCAGTTATTTTAACAATACCAAAATAAATCTTTTTACTCAAATTATTATTACTCATTATATCTCTTCACTTCAGTAAGCAAACAAAATTAACAAATTATGATCTATTTAAAAAAAGTAGTACAATTTAAAAAATATCTGTGTTTGTAACTTAAACAGTAGGCCTAGAGATAATATTAGTGGTCTGAGGTCTGGGGAACAGCAAACGAAGACAATGGCTCTAGTTGACCCTTGTTAATCTCAACTTGGCCCTTATTTAGAGGAGGTTCAATGATCTAAACCTCTTTAAACTGTTGAAATTGCATATAGTACTCTATTGTGTAATGGCAAATTGAGAAATGGAAGAGAAAAGATGCAACTGCTAAACATGTAATATTGAGAACAGTTGATAACAAAGTCAAAGACCATCTCATGCCATGTGGGACAGCAAAAGACACAATATTGACAAATATTTACAAATATTTACAATATTTACAATATTGAGAATATACAGAAAAGACACTGGTCAACAAAATGTTTAGGCTACTACTTCAAGATTTTACAATTTCAAGTTTGATCAATCCAAAGTCGTAACTAATATTAGTGAAGTTCAAAGCATTGTTTGTAAATTAAAATGTCTATATGAGGAAATCACAGAACAAATGATGATTTCAAAGATAATGACTATCCTCCCGGAACGCTTTAAGCATTTCAGTGCCTGGGATTCTACTCAGGAGACAAACAAAACCCTCGAGAATCTCATTGAAAGACTGAGTCTAGAAGAGGATAAAGGAAAAATGGCAAGTAAAGAGGATGAAAACGTATCTTTTATAGTGGAAGCAAATTATGGAAATTATGGAGGTAAGAAGAAAGTAACGTGTTTTTCGTATGGTACAACAGGACATCTTAAAGCAAACTGCCCAAAGAGATGGTGCTCAATATGTAAGAAAGACTTTCATGATGAAGACAACTGTAGATTTAAAGTATGTCGAATATGTAAAAAGTCAAATCACAGAGAAGAAGCCTGTTTTTTTTAGAAATAATGGTAAGCCAGAAAACAAATTATTGAATAAAAGTTACAAATACACTAAAATAGCTTTTTTGAGTAAAAGTGATAAATGTCTGGTTAATAATAACAAATTATGCCTATTCATCGTAGACAGTGGAGCAAGTTCTCATATGGTAAGTAAAAGGGAATATTTTAAAGATATTGGACAATGTTCTGGGAAAATAAATACAATTAAAAATGGTCAAAGTATGTCTGTAACAGGGGTTGGTTCAATTGAATATGATGAATGCTTATTAAAAGATGTGTATTGTGTTTCTGAATTGTCTAAGAATCTTATGTCTGTAAACAAAATCACAGAAAACAATGGTTTAGTATTTTTTGAAGATAAAAAGAATGAGAAGATTAAAAGAAGAATGAGAAGATTTTAAATGAATTTAAATAATTGAGTTTCCAGAAAACTGTGTTGTGATTGAGGGTGATAAAGCTAAGAACAGAATGTATATAGTAAATCTAGTACAACATGAGTCTGTTATGATGTCAGAACAAGATGGTAATAATTTTGAAACTTGGCATAAAAAATTGGGTCATCTAAATCATAAGCAACTGCAAGAACTTCCAAAAATGTGTGAAAGGTATACATTTTGTAAAACAGGAGAATAAAACTATTTTGGACTGTTCAGTGTGTGCTAAGGCTAAACAGATAAGATTGCCTTTCAAAACTGTGAGACAAAGAGCTGAAAGACCACTACAAATAATACATAGTGATCTTTGTGGTCTGATTGATCCTCCTACATACGACGGTAAGAATTATTTTTGGACTACACCTGTGGTCCGATTTCGATGAAATTTGGTATGTAGGTTCTAATCCATGGTATCTCCATGTGTTTTTTAAATTTTTTTGAAATTTTGATTTTTAATGGGGATATCCCCATAAAAACCCATAAAAAACCGGAAAAATCGAATTTTCTAAAAAAATGGCCCGAACGATTTTGATAAAAATTTAGTATGTTGTAGTCCTTTAAATTCTGAACAAAATGGTACTAGGCATGCGGCCTCAGGTCCGCCAATTGAGCGGAGTAAGCAAGCTTTGATATAAACAAATAACTTTAATTTGTTTTCATGATTCAAATTGAATACATGATGGCGTCACCATAGCAACAATCCAATTGAATTCTCGTGGTTGGTTGGAAGAGTTGAAGGAAATATGAATCCAGTCAGATGTTTCTATTAGGTCATTGATTTTTATTTGTATATATGAGTAATAGTTAAACTGTGTGTTTGTAATAGCCTAAAGATAAGTATTATTTTGACAATATCCTAATGTTTGTTTAGCTCCCATTTATGTAATAGGCCTATAGGCTTCCTTCTCATTTTCTCCAACTAAAACATTTAGCCAATTAGTAAACTTTGCTCAGCGAACAGAATGACAGAAGAAAGTGACTATATATAGCAATACCATAGTCAATGGTCAACACAGGAAATAAGGCGTGGCTAATTTCATGAGCTGATGATACCCTGAAAAAGATGGTGGTTGCCGCGACGCTATTGGCATTGAATTGGTGACGTTTGCGCTAGCTCCGCCACGTTGCCAAAATAGGCCTACTGTACTCAATAAATAGATTAGATTTAAAAGACGGCACTGGATAGAGAATTGATGACTTAAACAAGAATATATTTATTCCTCATGCTAAATTACAGCATGATTAAGTAAAATACTGCATATGCATAATAAACTACTGTATAACAAAATTGTTAAAATCAAATATAAAAGACGTTTTTATATGTTGATGTAAAGCCTATTTATTGGGTTGTACTAAATTTTCAACCTGACATAAAAATGCCAACATGCTGTTCTGTTAGCTGTAATTATTCATCTTACAGTATTACGGAAAAAAATAGGAATATTATATCACGCTTATTTTATAACTGGACTCCCGTACAGGCCAAGCAGTCTAGGCTCTACTTTTTGTAATTATTACCTTACTAGTGTCCCTGTTGCTCGAATTCGAGCAATTGCTAAGTATTAAAGGCGTTATTTTAAAACGAAAAACAGTCATAATTTCTGATGACTTTAAAAGATTCAACAACTCAAAGATTTTGGAAATACTCATGATGTAGTTACATAACAGATCGATATAATCACAATTTCTTGTAAATATCTTATCATTGTTGTTAAAAGCTGATCTTGTTTTTTAGCGTTTTCTACAAATAGCCTTACTCGTAGCCGCATTAGGTTACCCATAATAACATTATAAATTAAAAAAAAAAAAACATTTATATTTCCTCTCCTTGGTGATGTTCATGACTTTCCTATGGTTCCATAGTTTGCAAATGGGCTCTTTCAATGATTAATAAGAAATGCAGCACAGGGTTAATTCAGTTTTCTTTTTAAGATATCAATCTATCCAGGCTCTCTCACTTTTTTCCATTGTAATATTTACGCCAACCCAAATTCAAGTAAAAACATTTCGTTTTAACCAAGTCAGTAAATGTTTGTAGCAAACTGTTAAATTAGTAAACTTATTATCGGTTTACAACATGGTTCTTCTTCTCACTTTTAATTTCTGACAACAGCTGGAGTTTCATAACAATTTTTGTTTCCCATGTTAATCTTATGGAGAAATACGAAACTTTAAAGGGCTCCAGGGCCTCACTCTCTAATTATTTCCTTAAAAAGAAAGTTTCCTGCACAACTTCACGTTACGCTCTTTCCAATGAGACCAAAAACATGTCAATCGGTTAAGTAGTTTCGGAGGAGTAATTGTCACAAAAATCCTGCTTGCGTATTAAATAAGTATATAGATTATCTTCATCTTTTACCCAAAAGGGATTGATGGCGTCAGACTTTCAAATAAAAAATATATACATTTAAACAAACAGACATAAATTACTGAACATATATTTACAACATTGGCATGTGTAATTGTAACTGTGTCTGTATATCTGCACAGAGAAAATTATTTCCACACTTATAAGTTATAAATTGGACAACAC